AAAACAAGCTTGTGTGCCGTTATAAGACGCAAAAATTAGGTACTACCCGATTTTAAGGTCTTAGGTCAGCCAGTGACCTCTTAGGTCAGGTAAGTGCCACAAGGCACGGGCTCGGTTTTAGGTTAATTACTTTGCCAAAAATGGTCGCACTGCCGCGATTTTGGCATAATCGTGTTTGTCTAGCTCAGGCGCGTTGAATGCTATACTTGGTTTTCGGGTGAAGTCAACTTAACCCTCACCGGCACAGGCAATTTTGCGTCCTTCGACGGCACTAGGGGGGGGGGGGTTGGTACGACCCCCCTCGCGTTTGGCCCCTGATCGAGCTAGAGCCTCGCGGAAAAAACGAGCGTGTTGCCCGTCACGAGAGGAAGCCGATGATACCCAATTTTAAGGTCCTATGTCATCGGGTGACCTTCCAGGTCAGGTCAATGACCCGAAAACCGGGAAAATCGGGACCTGTTAGAAAGTCGTAAATTGTGGCTGCTATGTGGTTTTCCGGGGTGCTGATCACGAATATCGTATTAGTTTTGATCAGTGATGATGTCTTTAAGCATTTAGACCAGGTCGGGTCAGGTCAGGTCAGGTCAACCGGTAGGGGTTGTGACGGGTATTCGTAATACGTGTCAACCGCCTCTGACAGCTTCGTAACATGTTACGAAGGCACCAAAACTACTTCGTAAATGTTCAATTGGTTGCTTAATTCGAATTCAGCTCCAAAAACTAGCCTAGAAACATGTAAAACTCGAAAAAGTGAACCGAGGTCACCCGCGAGGTCACCAAAGGTCAATGACCTGACCTGACCTTCAGGTGACCTTGACACCCATCCTAATGTATGGGAGCAGCATCAAATCACATGTTTGAACGTTTGAAACCACGAAAAGCTTGCAAACGCGCGGCTAATGCGAGCCGACATACGCCGAATCGCGATTTCGGCCAAACATGGTCACGGAAAAGAGGTTACAGGTCAAAGGTCATTGGGGTCAGGGTCATGCAATTTTCAGGGTAGGTGTAAAATTGATCAATGCGAGGGTACTAAAAATTTCGTCGCGATCATACCCCCCCCCCCTGTGCCGGCGAGGGTTAAGGTGTTAACCTCGGGTCAAGGTCAGGTCGGAGCCCCTTAGGTCACGAAAATGGTTGAAGGAGGTCATATCGCATATCATTCGATTGGGCAGGTCTTCCTGAGTCCAATGGTGGCTTTCCCGACTCTCTAGCTCCATCTGATCAGGAGTTATTGACGAAAAACTTACATGGCCTTAGTGACGTCATAAATGACGTCACGCAAAGTCAACAATGCTTAAGTCAAGCACTGGACCTTGCAAGGAGTGCATGAAACCATTCCCGGTGCCCGAATAGCAGCTCCCAATTTCCCTTCTTGACTTAAAGTGGTGCTAGATCCTGTATTATTCTCAATTATGACGTCATAACTTAACAGATTTACGTCATATATTTAGTGCTTGACATCCAAATGATAGCTTACATATGACAGAGAAGGTATGCAAAGTTTTATGAAGTTTCCTTCACTAGTTGTGGAATAACAACCAAAAAACTTTTGCGGAAAGGCCGCTGGCCTCTCGCTGGAGCGTTTCCGACCAGTGTGCACCGGCGTCCGTGGCTCAGCCCCCCCAACCTATTTTGCGATCCTACACCCCTGGGGTGCCTACCTACATACCAACTTTCAGCGCAATCGGCCAAGTAGTTACCAAGATATTGCAACAATTGCAAAACTGACACCTCTTCGTTTTGCACGTGGCACGTGCATAAGCGGTCACCCACATGCATTGGGAATAGTCCAATACTTGGTAGAAGGAATGAAGCTACCCTAGAAAAATCATCGAATGTAAATCGGTCAAGTGGTTGCTGAGATATACGCCTCGCAAAAGCGTAACCACGGCCGGCCGGCCGCTCATACTCAGAAATTTCCGTTAATCTACGAAAGACTACGCTTGCTTCGCTCGCTACGTAATAATTTCTTCAGACTAACAATGCCTCAGCCATATTGGCACGCTACTGGCTGAAAATAAGTTGCTTAAAAAGACCCACTGAATCGCCACGATTTTAAGTGCATGTCATCTCTATGTATATAAGATCTCTATGGTTTTTGCCCCCTGCAGGCAAAACCGTTGACGTTAGGTCAAATCTGAGAGAATTATTCAGAAAGGGCGTTAACCCGCGCCCCACTGGGGTCTGTGTATAACACGCCCTACTGGGGGGCTATTCATAGCCCCCCTCCTAACTCCGAAACTACTGGGCCGATCGTCAAAATTCAAACGGCGTCTGATAGCCCCGGAAAAACTGTCGAGCGAATCCTAATTTCATTGACCTCGAGGTCACCGATGACGTCACAGGTCAGGTCAAAGTAAAAATTATTAGCATTTTGGCTTGTTCACATTTTGGGCTCTGGCCGCCGTCTTACAAGTCAGATCATGCTCATTTTTGGTTTCCACACTCGTGAACAGATGCTCTAGATACCTTCAGGGTACCAAACTTGTACTTTGATTTTCAGGTCAGGGTCAGGTCATCACAGGTCACGGAAATATTATATCATGCGTCGGTCACGTGACATATGTTTTATGGTCAATTTAGGCCATAGATTTCGAATTTGATGTCGTCTGTGTCATTTGAGGTCATTTTGAGTCGAAGTTAGCTTAGGTCAGGTCACTTTCAGGTCAAAAAAGGTCAAATTTTGAAGTTAAAATTTTTCAACAAAAAAGGTGTCTATTGGATGCAGTTTGAGCTCAGGAACACGATGGTGCCATTTATATTGGTGTAAGATGTCAAATACGTACTGAAAAATTGATTTGAAAAATTAATAATTGTGAATTTTTTGTAATAATGCGTATAACTTGGCCATTTTTGAAGATATTTAGCTAAAACTTGCTAGAGTTAGTCATAGTCTTGCGTTCTGTCACATATATTCCGGTTTTTTCGAAAAGTTAAAAACTTTTTGGAAAAAAAATATAAAAATATAAATTTTGAATATTATTATATAAAATTTTCAAAATTTTCAAAATTTTCAAAATTTTGAAACTCCGAGATAGCAGTTTGATAGCGCGGTCAATTTTGAGTCCTTTGATGCAAAGAAATTGGATCTAGCTTAAAAACTGAGCTCTTGGGAGCGATTGCCGTGGTTCAATGTTTTGCGTCGATTTCGGACGAACATGACGTCACTCTGACGTCATTTCCGGCCGACCTATGGTAGCTACGAAGTTTAAATTTTGACACAAGGTGTCAAATTGATGCAGCCAAAGGTGCTGAAAGTTTGGCGTTGATCCGTCAAGCGGTTTGGAAGTTATTGCGGAAAAACGGGAGGGGGCTATAAATAGCCCCCCCAGTGGGGCGCGGGTTAATAGGGCTATCGAATGCACTTTTCCGCGGCGCTGTAGCTCTATTAGTTCCCGAGTTATGCGTTGGCTTCTTGGAAAATTTTGACATTCGACCTGGAAATCGGCGAAATTTTGCCTTCAATAACCTCTGGTGACCTGACCTTTAACCTGACCAAAAAATTGACCGAAGTGATTTCGTCATTATTTTTTACGCTCTTTCGAACGCCGCCTTCGGTTCCGCGTATCGCTACGTGGCCCAGGAGCCGAGTTAGAAGAGGGGGTGTTCAAACCCCCACCCCAGCAGGGCGTGGAAATCCAGGACCCCCAGCCGGGCGCGGGTTAAGACGTTTTTGACTGTTTTGAGCCCTCCGGTAAGTAGAGCTTAAGTCACCTTGAGTTAGGTACCCCGAAATGATACTCTTAGACAGCTGGTAATGCATCCTGAAAAGCCTGTTTACCAACTTTCTAACGCTAAGACCTTTTTGACGGCCATTTTGGCGCCACACAGTTTTGGCCACATGGCTCACTCGTGAAAGCTGACAAAAAAGAGCATAAACTTGCAGCGAGTGACTCCCGACAAATCATCGGCGTCACTTGTTGACTGTGCGTCCAGTTGGCAGTTAGCGACAGACATTGGCTACATATTGGATGGCCTCAATCACCCTCAACCGTCGTGAATGGCCCAGTGCGGACTAAATACCAAGACGTTCCCGTATCGGAGACCTCTATGTTGCGGCGTAAGCCGTCTCCACAGGAAGTGAACTCTCTGGCAAAAAAATATTTTTTTTTTTCTAGACCAGTCTAGACGAATTAGTTACCGTGGAGCACAGTCACAGTTGCCATGGCAACCCCAAAAGTTCAGTTACGAAATAAATTAAGCGTGGCTTTAAATAAGAGAGCCTCTAAAAGCAAAATTTAGGTGAGAAGGAACTTTTGGGACACCCTGTAAAGTGATCGTATTTTGTCTGATTTCCTTATCTATAATAAACACATTTGCCCAACATGTGTCCCATTCGATACCGCCATGTTTCTGCAGGCACGGTGGTGTCGGGCTGGCGGGCCCGGTACAGCCGCTCAGAGGGCTACCGCTGGACGCTGATCGGCAAGATGAACCCGCAGCTGCCGCAGATGTTCTACCCGGTGCTGGACAACGTCACCATCACCACCGGCGACATCGTGGTACGCATCACCATGGACAGGATGGTCTGATCCTGGTTGATAGCATTGTTTAGTTATGGTTTTGACCTACCTTCTAGCGAATTGCGAAATGCAATGCATCGTTTACCAACCAATAGCCGCTGGACAATGTTGACCTCCTGGCGTGTTTCAGGCTGCAAGATGCACGATGAATAATTTCCGGTCACGCTTCACAAAAATCGGGTAAGCACTGAGCGCGAATTCCGACAAAGTAAAATAAACATGTTATTTCTTTTCCGGTGACAGATCCCAATTACTTGCCTGATCAGTATAAGGGCCAACCAAATTGCTTTGTAAATGTAACACTGTGCAGAGCGCATGCATTTCCAATTAGAGTATAAAATTAGTAGCTGTTGCACCTTACTTAGGGAGGCGTTTTTAACTTGGGTACATCGCAAAATTGGTAATTTACTATAGCTAACGAGCATCTTATACCACAATTTTACCAGCATTCGTTCCTCTGTCGCAGTTTGACGGCCGAAGACGAGATGTGCAACTTCTACATGATGTACTGGACGGACGGCGCGCCGCTGTCCCGTAGCAGCTGCTTCAGCTGGGGCCCGCCGTTCTCCTACTGGCACCGGCTGCCGCTCGGTCTGTCCCGCCTCTTCAGCTACCCCTGGCTGACGCAGATACCGGATGAAGAGCGAGCCTCGGCCATCAGCAGAGAGGAGCTGAAAAAGTACTTCACCGGCCGCATGATCGGCGCCTAGACCAGTGGCTAGGCGGGCAGTGGTCGGTGGTCAAGTTCTTGTAACACTCACTTTCGTTGGTGTTGGCGAGTTGAGGGCGTTGGTAGGCGCCTTACGCTGAAATCTTCAGCATAATAGTTGCATATAAATGGCTATGTCATGGCAGCTAATGTCACGGCAGCTATGTCACGCAAGTGCACATTGCGCGTGAAAATAAGATCGCATGTTGAAACACAAAGGTGATGACGAAACGATTCGCATTGTGAAACGTCAACGCATTGTATTACTCACTGAACGAATGGGCACTATTATTGTCTGTGAAGAATGAAGATCGTCTTTAATTTTGGCATGCGTGTATGTGTTCGGTATATGAATGTGGGGATCATGCTTGTTGCGATTCGGTATTTACTTTTCATTTTCTTTATTGAATACGTGCATTTGCTGTTGTTCACAATCATTAAGTAATTTATTTATTAGGGTAGGTAGTTGCTGCTTATGGATATAAAAGCCAAGGGAGCAGAATACATATTACACAGTCATCACGATCACAACTGTTTAGCATTTTAGCTTAGTGCCTACAGGCTACACCCCCACTGGAGTTATGAATTCTCACGCATTGCTGGAGGAGAAGGGGGTGGATCGAACAACTAAAACCCATCTAGCTCAATCCATGGTCCACGCCAGTTCGAAGGTTTGTTAAAAATCGCTACGCTCATAACCCCGTCAGACCAATGTTTATTTTCAGACGAACTCTGAGGAAGGCTGATACCTACTGTCAAGGGACTGGCCTTCATAAACTGTCATCTCAGTCCACTGGCTGTCCCGCTCACCGGGCACTCAAAAACAGCTGACGGATAGCGGCCTGGAGCACACTCCTGTGTCGTTTTTGGTCGACGACCACCGGACGTCCCACTTCCGCTCCGAGTATCTAATCGGCGTCCGAGCCGCTGTCTGTGCACCGGACGGCCGGGGTCAGTCCACTGTTGGAGTTGGAGACGCGCTGTTGTGGCCCGTCTCTCACTCCCGCTCGACTGGTGCCTCAGCGCGCGGGGTAGAAGCAAAGGGTTTGTCTGCTCCGCTGCCGTCATGTGGCAGTGGTCGGTGCTTCCCCTCCTGCTGACCAGCGGCGTCCTGGCGGGGACCCGGTTCGAGCGGCGCTCCTTCACGGTCGGTCCCGACTCGTTCCTGCTGGACGGCCAGCCGTTTCACTACGTCTCCGGCTCGGTGCACTACTTCAAGGTGCCGTCGGCCTACTGGCGCGACCGTCTGACGCGACTGCGAGCCGCCGGGGTCAGCGCGCTGCAGACGTACGTCGAATGGAGCTCCCACCAGCCGGAGGAGGGCGTCACCGACTTCAGCGGCCAGCAGGACCTGGAGCAGTACCTGCGGCTGGCGCAGGAGCTGGGCCTGCTGGTCATCCTGCGGCCGGGGCCGTACATTGACGCCGAGCGGGACCTGGGCGGCCTGCCGTACTGGCTGCTGCGCCGTCAGAACGTCAGTCTGAGGTCGTCCGACCCGGCCTACATGGAGGCGGTGACGGCGTGGTACGACCAGCTGCTGCCCAGGATTCGGCCGCTGCTCTACAGCAACGGCGGACCGGTTATTATGGTGCAGGTGAGCGAGAGCGACGGAGAGGTGGTCACACAGACCAGCCGACGGAGATGAAATCACGCAGTAGCATGTGCACACTGCACACGCAGTGCCCACACCCGCTCATTCTTATATGTAATATTGTAACGGTCAGATCAGTCACGGAAGGAACGTAAGTAATAGGTGTCATTTTATTCAACGTTTTTTTTTTCGATGCATTGAGTCGATTCAGCGTTATATTCATTAAAAACTTAATAAAATGAAAAATAAAATAGTATGAAATACTAAACTGATGACGTTTTTGCAGTAGGCAGCTCCGTCTAAATGCCGTTGACTGGGGTTAATAGCGAACCTGACTTGACTCCCGTTGTGATCCCGGATGAATGAGTCGTTCTGGCGTTCGATAGCATGCGGCTCATTCTGTAGCTGACCACAACCAGTTGGTCAGTGAGTATTGTCGAGCAAGACATGCTTGTTAATATTTTTGTTTATATGTTTTTATCTTCGTCTTTTTATCGTCACCTGTTCAACCCTTGATCGACCAGATAGGTGTCATGAATAGCGCAATATAAATAACCTGTCCTGGCCCACCCTTCCAAGCGAGAATTTCGCCTTCTTCGATCCGTTTCCTCAAAACTATTCGAGCAGTTTGAAGGACGGTAAATGCCAGTGTCGTCTACCTGTAAGCTTAATCGTTAATCATGTCGCATAACCCAAAACATTTAACAACGGATGATCTCTCATTTACGTCTTGAGGCATCCCTGCACATGTTGCCAGAAGAATTACGTCTGCGCAGTTAATTCGAGTGACAATACCGTACCTGATATCTTGAGCACTGTGACCAGCAATCGTGACTTCAAAGCGGCAATTGTTCAGATCTGATGAGAGCTCAAGATAGAAAAAGTCTCTTGACCCTTGTGTCCATTACCTATCTATCACAACTGCAACATCTCAGGGCTGATATGATGGGTAAACATGAGATAAGCGTGTACGAGATGTCTCAGATGTCTTCAGTTCTTGTCTGCGCTCTCATTGTGATATGTTGTGCGTATTGACGAAGGCAATAAGTAGCTTAGCGGAGCAAAATTATTGGATTGAATTGTAGCAGTCTTGTCTCCTTGTCACGTATGATATAGGTTAAGCAATGGCAGAGAACATCGCCAATAATTATGGATGTAGTCACGCACATTATTCACAAAGTAAAATTAGAGAATAAGAATAGAACTATGCTATCATCCTGTCTTTCTCCACAGGTGGAGAACGAGTACGGCAGCTACTCGTCATGTGACGCCGTGTACATGACGCAGCTGCGTGACCTGCTGCGGCGTCACCTGGGCGACGACGTCCTCCTCTTCACCACCGACGGCGGTGCTGACTACTTCCTGCGCTGCGGACCCGTGGACGGCGCCTTCGCCACCGTCGACTTCGGCACCGGCTCGGACGCGGCCGAGGCGTTCGCGGCGCAGCGGCGACACAACAAGATCGGCGGGCCGGCGGTCAATTCGGAGTTCTACCCGGGCTGGATCAACCACTGGGGCTACCCGCGCAACATGGTCTCCACGGAGGAGGTGGTCAACGCCACCAAGACACTGATCTCTCTCGGCGCCAACTTCAACGTGTACATGATGCTGGGAGGAACGTCGTTCGGCCTCAGGGCCGGCGCCAACATGGGCGACACGTTCGAAGCCTGCACCACATCCTACGACTTCAACGCGCCGTACACGGAGAGCGGCAACATCACTGACAAGCTGTACGCCCTGCGGGAGCTCATCTATCCTTACACAAACATGACAGAGGTGGCGGTTCCTGACCCGCTGCCTGTCGCCTCCTACGGCGAGGTGAAGATGACGTGGCAGACCAGCCTCCTGGAGGCCGTGCAGGCGCTGAACGTCACCCGGGTGTCAGACTCGCCGGCGGTGCCCTTCTGCGACGTCCACCAGGCGTACGGCTTCGTGGCGTACTCCGCGGCGGTGACGTGGAAGCCGCCGCAGCCGGCCGTGCTTTCCGTACCCGGCGTGCGGGACCGAGGCTACGTCTGGCTGGACGGTCGTCCGGTGGGCGTCCTGTCGCGTGCCGAGAGCGCCTTCTCGATACCCCTCCTCGCCGCCAAGGAAAGCACAGTCACCATCATTGTCGAGAGCCTAGGCCGCATCTGCTACGGCGACATTCACGATCGTAAGGGGATACTGGAGGCGGTCACCCTCGGGGGCAAGGAGCTGACCAACTGGAGCATCACCGCCCTGCCGCAGGACCTGACGCAGCTGGTGCCGGAGACGCCGACGCCGCAGGGGGACGCGCTGCACCCGGCGCTCTACAGGGGCGCCTTCTCCGCGGCCGACCCACCCGCCGACTCGTTCCTCCACTTCCCCGGCTGGCACAAGGGAGTGGCGTTCGTGAACGGGGTGAACCTGGGCCGCTACTGGCCCGCCGTCGGACCTCAGATGACGATGTACGTGCCGGCGCCCTTCCTCCGCGCCGGGGAGAACACCGTCACCCTCCTGGAGATGGATGGTGCGCCCTGTGGTCCGCAGGAGTCCTGCGCCGTGGCGCTGCAGGATTATCCCGACCTGAATGGCCCGACTCCGGACAGGATCTCTCCCTAACGGTGCTTTTAAGCCAATTCTAAATAGATGACAATTTTAGGCATTTGTAGGAACATTTGGGGATTACAACTTGGCATTTATATTGTTCTTCCACGGGTATCATTTGCGAGTGATTATACGTATTGTAAATTCTAATGTTACATGGCTTAAGAATGTGAATAAAGAGGAGGCTTCGTCGAGGACTTTAGTCGTTCTCAATCGGGCGACATCTTTAAACCATGAACGAAAACCACTTGAGCGGATTCGCTTTGGAACTACTTTTTCATCAATAATATCGTGCACCCTTATCCAACCTGAAAATAGCCTTGCTTCGGGTTCTCATAGGCAAGCAGAATCATATTTACTCCCCGATATCCTCTGTAAAAATGGAGTTCCCTTGATTCTTGTATCGCTATCAAGTACGTTCTAAAATCAAATAGAAATGAAGATGGGCAATTAAATGTCAAGCTTTTCAATTCTTCCTTATCTGTAGATATATGACTCCAGAGTAAGGAGACAAGCGTGTCATGTATGTATTTCGGCACAATATTTGCACAGTCAACCCGTGTTTCGTTAGCACTGTCATCGTTGGGACGGGTCGGGTGCAGGTTCTTTCGAGTACAATATCGTATGATGGTAGATGGTGCATCAACACTCACTAACAATAACCATTTTAACAAATTCAGCAGTAACCGATTTGTTTCCGCCTCGCCATCCAAAGTCAGCAGGCACTAACCGCAAGACACCACAGTCAGTGGATGCCACAGTAGTTACTGTTCAGTAGTCAGCTGGTCGACAAAGCTGAGGTCGGTGCCGAGCAGGTTCTCTTCGATCCAGGCGTCCATCTTTTGAACCATTTCGGGCGTCAGGTGGGCCTTCCAGCTGCCCGTCTGGCCTGGCGGTGACGTAAAGCAGCAAAAGGAAACATTAACATTTATCCCAACGAGACAGCTACGTTGACAGCAACTAAGTAAACACGTTGAAAATTATTGTACTTCATATTATATTATGCACTCGTGGTATACGAGTATGATAATGTATTCAATCAAGCACGCATGGGGATAATTTAGCGAGCTAAGTTAAAGGGACTATCCCACCTTTAACATGGGGTTTAAGTTGAGATAGCCAAGTTTGCGGCGAGGTTCAGAAATCACTATCTATCTAGGTTGCAACCCCCGCGGCCTCTTGGTGTTGAAGAAATTCGTTCCCTTCATTTGAAAATGGGCCTTGTGCAAGGCCCTATCTTCAACATGGAGCGACCGTTAGTGTGACGTCACCTCGTTTAGTCATTCTGATTTAAATGGCTTTGTTCGTTGAAAAATCGCTTAAAACTTGGTCTGAACTTTGTTGTGGTGCCTACAGAGTAAAAAGAATCAGCTTTATGACAGTAATGTGGCCTGGGGAAGGGGGTAATTTTGGGCTGTGACGTCACATATTTGAAAGTTTGTGTTTGGAATATGGGAAGCCTAAGATGTTTAATGAAAAATAAATGCCAGAACCGTGTTCCTGGTCATCCAATCTATAAAGTCGGGCTCAATTTAACTGGTTTTAACAACATTTTAGAAGGTGGGATAGTCCCTTAAAGCGGTGATGATAACGGCAGTGCAAAAAGGTCTGTGAAATAAATCCGAGAGTGGCATTGCCTGCAAATGTTCTTATGTAGCCTAAAGAGTATTTCATCAGAATATTTCTTAACTATCTTTTTCTTCAGCTTATCCCTTCTTACATTATCAATTTCCTAACAAATTTAGGACAATCCCGTTCAAACCATATATATGTTATGTAAGGACCGTTATCCACATTACAGACATACACACTCACCCGCTCAAAACCTTCAGGAGATGGATTGACGGCCTTACCTTTGTTGATGAACGACCGTTCCGGGTCCATCAGGCCCGGAACATCCCTCAGAAACTCGTTATTGACGTTGGGGTTCTTCCTCATGTTGTCGATGTGCAGGTGATTCACCAGCTTCTCCATCTGTTCATCCGTCAGCGTCTTCCCGAGGAACTTGGCTACTTTTGTGATGACGCTCCTTAGATCCTGCATAGAGAGCAAAATCATTCTTCCGTTAACCCTCGCCCGCACATGCCATTTTCCCATCCTAGAACGCACATGGGGGGGTTGCCACCCCCCCCCCGCGCCCTTTCGTTCCTGTTGGAGATAGAGCTTAGCAGTAAGACCAAAAAGATTCTTTGGGAAGAGACGAATCCAATGATACCCAGTTTTACCTTCTCAGGTCAGTCATTGACGTTCCAGGTCAGGTCAAACTAAAAAAATATTGCTGTTTTGGGTCACCGTTGGATATCAAGTGCGCTGCTTATCAAATACCGATGACGATGCTGTTTTCTGGTGCCAAACCAGCTAGAAGCTCTTTGTCACACTACCCGACCAGAATTTTGCTGCTGAGGTCATTTCAGGTCAAGTTGGTCAAGGTCAATTATATGTGTTTGTATGTGTGTGTGTGTCTGTGTGTATACCTACTGATGTGTGCACCGATTGTTTTTGGGTCCATATTACATGAAATCATGATCTGAGAAGCTTTTACCAAAAATGCAGTCAAAAAGCTTCACAAAAAGTAAATTCTGCTTGCCTAAAACGCAATTATCTTAGATGACCTAGGTTGACCTTGACCCTGACCTTGACCCCTGTACATCGTCGAACAACATGTTCCATGATAGGTGGGAGGTAAGACTGGCAAAAAAGGCCGAAATCAGGGTGTCAAAAGCTCACAAGGCCCATGGCAAGCGCAAGATGTTGAGAATTGGCCATTTGGGTCATGACATGACCTGAAAAACAAGGTCATATCTCCGAAACAAAAAATCACAGAAACTTGAAATTTTCAGTGGACATCAAAAAAGGATAGAGGAGCAGCTATACAAAAAATCAGCCTTCTAGCTCTAAAAATGTTGAGTGCAGAGCAGAAAGACTACCTGGGGGGGGGGGTGGCAACCACCCCCCCCCCCCCCCATGTGCGGGCGAGGGTTAACCGGAGCACCTGGGAAATTTCGAACGAGAATAAGATATTTTGATTGACAGGTTTAATTCAACCATAGATCACTATATATCTATATTTAGTGGTCTCTGATTCAACATATTGCGCACGGAAAAATAAGAGTAAAGACTCAGTCAACCGAGGAAGGAACGCGTCGCTGTCGCCATTAGCTACAAATAATATGTACGATATTGAATATATTACACATACCCACGCGTACCTACATATAAGCCTACCTTTTTCATGTCTTCGTAGAAGATGAAGCACATGTTGGGGTGCCGCCGGAGGTTCCAGGCCTCCAGCACATGCGGGAAGAACGGTGTCTCCAACGCTGCAAAACAAAGTAGGTGCCTATTCACGAACCATTCATTTCGCGTTATATAGTGTCATATCGCCCGTTTAATGTAATGAGAAATCAAAATCTTTAATCGTTGCCAATAATCAATTAGCATAGTGAACTAAATTTGAGGCGTGAATTGCACAATACCTACACGTTAGGTAATTCAGTTTTGAAGGGGTACGTACAAACAGTCTAACTAACTGTTTAATTAAACCAGTATACCTAGTCCTAAGTCCAACGCCTGAAAAAAAAAACATTACACGGAAAAGGACATTCTTTCTAAAAACACTTTCGTATGCATATGACACATGTAGGTACTTTGTACATTTATATGCACGCATGGATGTCAGTATGACTGACCCACATGTGTATCCATAGAGATCTTATATACATACATGTATGAGATCTCTAGGTGTGCATCGGTTAATGTGTAATGTGTATGCAAGCCATCGTCTTACTTCGGCCGTTAATGAAGTGCTCAAACAGTGTTGCGAAGTCTGAGTCGAAACCCTGGAGTTTCAGAGCCTTCAGATGGTTGAAATAGGAAACAACCATATCCTTCGGGTTTCTTGCGACGTATATAACCTGCCAAAATTTGCAATACCGTCATACGTAATAAGCGTTTATTCCCGTACCTAAGTCCGACAGACAAAACCGCTCTTCACCAACGGCAAACGTAACCGGCGAAAACGTACACAAATTCAAACAACCAGCTGCAATATCACTTAAAAATTCGTAAAACTCGGCCAGCGTCATCACCTTGGCCTTCTTCAGAAGGTCCGGCGGGTTCAGCGACATCGGCAGGTGGGACTTGACGAAGCGCGAGTGCTGAGTGGAGACCGCCAGCCGCTGGGCCGGGTCGAGCGTCATCTTGGGAACCAGCTTCTTGGCCTCGGCGAACATGTTCCGTACGTGGTCCGGGTCATGGAGAAGAGAGAATCTGCCGGACCAAGATTACTTTACTAATCTGCCGGACGATACCGAGGAGGTAAGGGGATGTGCGTGGGAGACGAGAGACTGAGAACCGTCGCTTGACCTTTGGGATCTAATAAAGCATAAGGTATAAATTATCTATGGCTGATGGTATAATTATTCACAATAATCCACCTGTGTCTAAAGATAAAACAATTAAGAGAATGAGTCGTGAGGATGAGTGAGAACGTGGCCCTGGCCTCTATATTTCCTCGTAGACGATGTCCTTTGGTAAATGAATAGATAATATATATTAACACATGGTTTCCCGTGTGTAAATGGTTTTAACCCGGCCGGGCCCGGGGGGTAATCCCAACCACCGCAGCCCGGGGGGGGGGCGTTTTTCGCCCCCCTTGTCTAACTCCGTAAATAAGGGAGCTACGGAAACAAAAGCGATACCAAACGAAAGGTCCTTACGAGACGATTCTAATGCACCTAAAATTTTTGACCTCAGGTCAATTTTCAAGGTCAGAGGTCAAGGTCAAAGGCCAAAACCGGCACATGTGTAGTGATCTCAAAGTAAGCCTTCTAGAGGACGGCAGGCTGCATCAAACCGGCAAAATTGGGTGTCAAACGAAAGAAGAGAATCTGAGGATTCTGAAAATGTGCTCCAAATCAAAGGTCAAGGTCAAGGTCACGCTCAAAATTGACCTCAAACTTGGCACTTTTTCGCACATCTTGCGTGCTAACTTCCAAGATGTTTTGAAATGTTTTGAGGCTTATCAGTTCCCTATTTGTGGTTCATCTTACGATACAAGGCTGCTCAAAGGTCAAGGTCACAGAAGAGTATCCCTGCTAGAGGCTATTTCACTGATTCAAGCTAGTAATAATAAATAAGACAATTTTGCCATCCGAAAGCACTAAATGAAGGCTTAGAGGAAAATAGATGCCAGATTCGTGATCAGCGGGTACAAATACATCATAAACGACCTTTCATGTGTCAAGGTCAACCAGAGGTCATTCGAGGTCACATGAGGTCAACATGAAACTTGACCTTTTCTGAACAAAATATATATCATTCGACGCGGCTTGACAAGGCGAATGTGATGGTACCACTGCCGTAGCTCTAGGACCATTTTTGCCGAAGTTATTTGCGAAAAACTAAAACCACATTTCGGGGTCGTTGACCTGACCTCTGACCTCAGGTCACCAAAACTATTTTTCTATTTTTCTCTAGGTCAAACGCTACACAGCCGTGCTCGTAATTTGTCTTTATCTCTAAAACTCTATTTTTAGCAGCTATTTGAAGTTTGCGTCTGTGACGCCGAAGTTTGCCGTGCAGGGGTCTAGAAAAATGGACCTTGTGACGTCATCAAGGGGGCTAGGTCCAAATTTTTTACTTCAGAAGATGTCAAATTGATGGGAGAAAAGGTACTAAAAGTTTCGCCTTCCTATCCCTAAGCGTTCGGGAGTTATCGCAAATATTCGCCAGGGGGGGGGGGCGAAAAACGCCCCCCCCGGGCCCGCGAGGGTTAACGCACGACGTGGATGGATTGGATTGGATGCATTAACGCACTAGTGCTCCATTCCATCCACGAGTGCGTTAAAACCATTTATGCACGGAAACCATGTGTTAAACTAATTAATACATGCTTAACGGTGCGAATTTAAATGAAAATTAAACCTAGTCCATGCCACTAAAAAGGGCCCTTTATGGGAAATCTTAGAATAGTCAATGACCCTTCCGAAAAACTTCAGTCGAGAAATCACTTTTGGTGCACGGCTACCTTCGAATTAACGCACGGTTAATCTCCAGTGAACGCACCGTAAAGTATGTATTAATAACTATTTAAATAGTTCGACCTCCCTCTGCAGTTTCCGAACGTCCTGTACGAGACAGGTGAAAAGCCAAACCACTTACTCTAGAAAGTTGTACCGGTCGTCCAGTGGTCTGGTGGCCGTCTCGTACTTGAGGTCATTGGCCAGCAGCCAGACCATCTCCTGTGTCCAGGTGGTCCCTGTCGGCAGGGTAACCGGGTGACAGTGAGGACTGTGGGTGGGTGTATCTGCTGCGTAATGTCACTTATGGTGTCACATCTACATTAGAATTAACCTTCGCCCTGGTGGGGGGGGCCATTTTGGCCCCCCCCCCTGTGGTTTTTTCAGCGATAACTCAGAAACCACTTGAGTTAGCGCCCTGAAACTTTGTATAGCTGTTTATTCAACATTTTTACATCATGTCCTTTTTTTGGGGGTTCGGGTCAGGTCAGGTCAGGTCACAAGGTCACCAAAACTGACACCACCTCTAAAAAAGTTCAAAGCTCTCTCAAAGGCACAGCTTTTATCCGATCGATGTAAAATTTACAGTACTTGAAGATGTCACCCAGCTCTACAAAATGGCTATCTCGGATTTTTTATAAATGTGACCTAAGGTCAGGTCAGGTCATCGCTGCTCCCCATTATAAGTCAATGGGAGAATCGAAAAGTAGTTGTTTTTCAGCTAAATCGGGCGTGATTGTTCCTATATTTCGTTATTGAAGTGTCTTGGGTCAGCAAATCACAGCCCATGTGAAACCATTTGCTTGTGACCTCGCTGAGGTCACGCTAGGTCATCTCCCTGGTCACCAGAGGTCACCAGCGGTTTTTCTGCACTTACTTGTTATTGAATAGAGATAGAGACTCCGTTCGACGTTTATCGTGTTTGTCTCGTCAATGCGGATCGAATGATATGCAGCATGACCTATTTCGGTAAGGTCATGACCTTGACCTGAGGTCAAATTTTCAAAATGACCTTTCGAGGTCAAACTATATATCATTCGACGCGTCTCGACGAGCCAAGCACGATGGTGCATGAATCGTTTCTCTATTTTCTCGTGAATGCATGCTATAGTTAAAAACATTTTCAACGAAATTTGCCAAGTTGACCTTGCATGACCTCTGTAGGCCAAACCGTTGAGCTGAGGTCAAATCTGACGAACTTCGGCGAAAGAGCTTGAAAAGAGCTATCGATTGCTTTTTTCCGCGGCTCTCTAGCTCTTCTAGTTTCCGAGCTACAGCGGAATATGTCCGGCAACACCGAAAACACTGAAATTTGACCTATGATGACCTCTAGCGACCTCAATATTGACCTTAGCGAAAAAATGACCGAAATACTTTCGAACGTACTTGTTATGGGCTTTCGTTTGCTTTTTTCCGCGTCTTCCTAGCCCTCTTCGTTTTCGAGTTAGACGGGGGGGGTCATTTTGGCCCCCCCCCCCCCACCAGGGCGAAGGTGGCTCAGACCCACACCAGGGCGCGGGTTAAAGAGGATCAACTGATTCCTACAAAAGTACTTATGCCCCGGACTGACTTACCACATTTGGGGAGTGAGACAACCCAGATATCTCCGTCCTGAACCGGTTTGTTGTAGCACTGTTGGAGCATCTCTTCTGTGACGTGACCCATCAGCACAAAATCCCAGTGGTTGGCCTTGACAAACCCCTTGGGAAATCCCTTGCCGAAGTCACGGGTTATCCTCTCCTGAACGTCTTTTTCAAAGGGACGCACCTTGAAAGGAAGCTCTTTTGGCTGGTCCATGGCTGGCCTGTGAAAATAAAGGACGTTACTTGTTTCAGTGACATTGTTGCTGAGTACGTGAGCGTATCTCAAATCTGAACCACTCAAGTGAGGATTGGTCCGTTTGTCTCCGATAGTCGGCACTTCGGCAGTTATCTAAAGGTTAGGGAGACTGCAAAAAAAGGACGGCTATGTGTCATCATGCTACTCTCTCTCTCTCTCTCTCTCTCTCTCTCTCTCTCTCTCTCTCTCTCTCTCTCTCTCTCTCTCTCTCTCTCTCTCTCTCTCTCTCTCTCTCTCTCTCTCTCTCCCTCTCCCTCTCCCTCTCCCTCTCCCTCTCCCTCTCCCTCTCCCTCTCTCTCTCTCTCTCTCTCTCTCTCTCTCTCTCTCTCTCTCTCACCCTCTTTAGTCATGAGAAAATCATAAGTGGATGATGCATGAGCTGGTTTTTACTTCGTTATTTCTTATGGCCTACCTATATTTTGACATTGAAGATTTATTCATTAGCTCGTCAGAAGCATGAACACTTATTCCATCGGCAACTAAATTGTATACTCGTCACCCGAACCTACAGAAAGTGCATACAATTATTGACTTCAACTTTAACTGAAAGCCCAACTTGCTGTCAGCACCTATGCCTAAATAGCGAACATCCCTGCCATTTCGTTCAATAAGACGGATACTCACCTCTGCTGTCGGTAGCCCAGTGCCGATTGTCTGTAGCCCAGTGCACGTGGTCTGTTGTCTGTTCTCGGTCGTCGGCCGCGGCTCCGTCCCCCCTGACCTCGGAGTTACGACTGGTCTGTGGCCTCGTCCGACCAGTTGTACCATGATCCTTCCAATGGAGCACGTCGGTGGGCGGGGAGGAACGAATTCGACCAGTCACCGTTACCATGGGCGCTTTGGAATTGTCGTGGCCTTGACGGTACGACTGATAACAAATCGCCATGTGATGAACAAGGGTAAACTCAGCCAGAGGCGGGTGCAGCCGGGCATGGCCTCTCAGCATGCCCTGTTTGAACTGTGTGGGTAAAGTTGGCAGTTGTATACGTGACCTCGTCTATGTAACGAGAATAGTAGAGAACAGTATTGACCAACTTTTTATCAATGGTGTGTCTGGGTGAGTAAATGATGCCTGGCCCACAATGCGGCGACGATGTCGGATCCGATCGTTGTTCATTGAGGCGAGGGTTAGGGGCGTGAAGACACTTCCGTCTTCCCGCAAACTTGGCTCCTGGGACACGTTTGCGATAAACGGATAGTCAACGTCCGAAATGTAGTCAAATTCCATCAGATGCGCCCGGTTCTTTTGAACCATATTTACTGCAACTTTCTCTCGAGAAGACCTGATAGGTATGCGATCTCTCTCTCCTCTCTCTCTCTCTCTCTCTCTCTCTCTCTCTCTCTCTCTCTCTCTCTCTCTCTCTCTCTCTCTCTCTCTCTCTCTCTCTCTCTCCTCTCTCCTCTCTTTCTCTCTCTCTCTCTCTCTCTTTCTCTCTCTCTCTCTCTCTCTCTCTCTCTCTCTCTCTCTCTCTCTCTCTCTCTCTCTCTCTCTCTCTCTCTCTCTCTCTCTCTCTCTCTCTCTCTCTCTCTCTCTCTCTCTCTCTCTCTCCCTCTCCGACTGGCCAGTGGCAGGCACTACCCCGAGAAGGGGGACAACAAGTAATACGGCGATCCCAGACCTTGCCGATCATCGTTATCGCGCGGTAGCTCACCTTTGCTGGCGAGCTGGTCCGAACGGCATGCTAGGTCGCAACAGCTGCTCCGAGTACAGGACGAGTACGCCATTGTTTTGGAAATACCGGCATGCTACGAACCAGGGTGAGGTGCATCAGTTTCCCTCCCTGCGGATGATAGGTTTAACCCTCACCGGACCTCTTGGTTTTCCACGTACGTACGCGCCGGCCGAGGGGGGAGGTGGCTCGGTACGACCCCCCTCGCCGTTTCGCCCCTGATGGAGCTAGCAGAAAAAACGAACGTGTGCGCCGTCACGAGACACAGCGACTGGTACCCGATTTTAAGGTCTCAGGTCAACCCATGGCCACTGAGGTCAGGTCAAATGACCCAATGCACGGGTTCGCTTTTTATAATCAACTTCGCAAAGAACGGCCACGGCATCATCGTGTTCGCCTCACTCAGGCGCGTCGAATGGTTGTACCTACTTTTTGTTCGAAGGAGGTCAACTTGAGGTGTTAACCCTCGCCGGCACAGGCCATTTGGAGTCCTTCGACGGCACAAGGGGGGTTGGTAGACCCCCCCCCCTCGCGTTTGGCCCCTGATCGAGCTAGAGCTTCGCGGAAAAACCGAACGTGTTGCCCGTCACGAGAGGAAGCCGATGATACCCAATTTTAAGGTCCTAGGTCATCGGGTGACCTTCCAGGTCAGGTCAATGACCCGAAAACCGGGAAAATCGGGACCTGTTAGAAAGTTGTAAAGTGTGGCTGCTATGTGGTTTTCCGGGGTGCTGATCACGAATATCGTGTTAGTTTTGATCAGAGATGATGTCTTTAAGCATTTAGACCAGGTCGGGTCAGGTCAGGTCAGGTCAACCGGTAGGGGCTGTGACGGGTATTCGTAATACGTGTCAACCGCCTCGGACAGCTTCGTAACATGTTACGAAGGCACCAAAACCACTTCGTAAATGTTCAAATGGTTGCTAAATTCGAATTCAGCTAAAAAAACTAGCCTAGAAACATGTAAAACTCGAAAAAGTGAACCGAGGTCACCCGAGGTCACCAAAGGTCAATGACCTGACCTGACCTTCAGGTGACCTTGACACCCACCCAATGCATGGAGCAACATCAAATCACATGTTTGAACGTTTGAAACCACGAAAAGCTTGCAAACGCGCGGCTAATGCGAGCCGACACGCGCCGAACCGCGATTTCGGCCAAACGTGGTCACAGAAAAGAGGTCACAGGTCAAAGATCATTGGGGTCAGGGTCATGAAATTTTCAGGGTTGGTGTAAAATTGATCAATGCGAGGGTACAGAAAGTTTCGTCGCGATCGGCCGCTTTTTACGCGAGTTATTCGCGAAAAACCTTAGGGGGGGGTTGCATCAACCCCCCCCTGTGCCGGCGAGGGTTAAGTGTTGACCTCGGGTCGAGGTCAGGTCAGAGTCCCTCAGGTCATGAAGCTGGTTGAAGGAGGTCATATCGCATATCATTCGATTCGACAGGCCTTCCTGAGTCCATTGGTGGCTTTCCTGACTCGCTAGCTCAATTTGATTTGGAGTATGACCCTAGTTATGTCATACATGACGTCACGAAAGGTCAACAATGCAAAAGTGAAGCATCGGACTTTCCAAGGAGTGCATGAAATCAAGATTCCCTGTGCTTGAGATAGCTTGAGATTGTTCCCGGAGCCAAAATAGCAGTTTTCATTTTTCCTAATTGACTTATGACGGTGAGGTCATGTGACCGACCTGACCTCTTGTGACATTTAGAAAAAAAATCAGAGATATACAAGTTGTGAGAACAAGTTGTGATAGGATACTACGTCCTGTAAGTTGCATCTCCATGTGATAGTTCCTCTGGCACTGAGGGCGTTCGTTACGAAGTTGCGACATCTGATGACCGTGCATAGGTTCACTTATGACGTCATAGGTCAGTGACCTGACCTGACCTGAAAATGTGGTTGGTGTCACAAGATCTGACTTGAATCAAAGGTCACGTATGCAAAGGTTCAGCTCTCTAGCGCTGGCGAGTTTGGAGCTATCACGAAAAAAAATATCGGGGGCGCTACCCCTCGGCCGGCGAGGGTTAAAAGTTTTAAACCAGCATTCTAACTAAGAAATATTTTGAAGTATGCTTGTGAATGTGACCTTTGACCTTAAGTGGCATTTTGAACCGTGTATGCAATTTGTCTAGGACCAGACCTAACAACTATCCATAGTCTGTACATGTTGATTGCATATATCATTATCAATTGCCAAAATATTAAAGAAGGTCGCATCACACCCAACTCTGCCATGACTGAGCATATTTCTAACAGCAGTGGCCGCCAGGAAAACCCACTGACGGATCCATAGGGTCATTTGAGGCAAAGCCCCACCCCTCGTGGCGCCCGAACTCTAGGAAAATTTGCGCTGTTTTTCGAGAATAAAACTACTTTACTTTAAAACTACTACTTTAATTAGGAACAGTATGTTTTAAACTGCACAGCAGTGCGTAATGAATCGAAATCCGAAGAGTTTTTGGAATTTGGAGAAACTTTGTTGGGGGTATGCCCCTCGCAGTGTCCAAGACCGCCGTTCTGGATCCGCCAGTGGAAATGCATCGCCATTCACATAGAAGCTTTTACCCGGTACCGTGTCGTGCATGTGCATGTCATCTTATACACACAGTCTATGATTGTCACCATAAGTATATTTTGTATTGTCGTTTGCATATTTTTCGAGACACATGGGTGTAATTTATTTGCTGGAACATATAATTTCAGTCAGATCTGTTAGCATAAACTATTAAAGACCCATTCTACGGGAATGACATGTTTCAGACCAAATTGCAATAAGACCATTACGGGTAAGATTACATTACTTCCTATTAGAGCACAAGTGGCGATGACCTTTAGCAGGGAAGGTCAGTGCGGATGATTGCGGCGCTCTGAGAGCAGAACGTCTGCGTGTTGTTCTGGCAGAAGTAGGAGTCGGGTCCCGGGCTGCAGACCCGGTCCAGACACCCCGCCACTCCGTCGACCACGCGGCAGGTCGGGCCGGCTGGGCCGCAGGTCACGCTGTCGCAGGGGTTCGGGAACGCGGGCGCCGTGCAGCTGCTGCTGCCGGAGGCGCCGCGGCAGCAGAGCAGGCTCGACGGACAGTCGTTGTCGTAGGTGCACGGCTTCACGCTGTCGGCCGGCACCAGGCTGGCCGCCGGACAGAAGCCGGGCTTCGGCCGGGCCCTCGGCACGCAGGCCGAGGTGAACTGGCAGCCGGGGAAGGGCGTGCAGGCGGGCTGCGCGTCCGGCCGCCGCTGGGTCACACAGCGCGTGCCCGGCTGGCCGCAGAGGGCCAGCGCGCACGGGTCGTCGATGCAGACCGGCACCGGATAGCAGTGCTGGGTGGCGCACACCACCTCCTGCAGCACACACACCTGGGTGCCGGCGCAGCGGATCGCCTGACAGCTCGGCGGCCTGGACGGCGGCGGCGGCTGCACGTCAACACACGCCGCTAATGAAAAACACCACAGGCCCTTCCAGCATTTCCGCACCAGCTTACATTCCTGGCCGGTGGGGCACTTCTTCTTGCAGCTTGTCAAAGGCTCTGAAAAGAAATGATAGTAGTGATTGCTTAGAAACACGAGTGAAATGTTTCTGTTCACTGCCAACTTCGCGCCTTATGCTATGCATAAGTGTAAAGCACGACTCCAGATGATATTAGACGTTCAAGCAAACTGCTATAATAGCTGGCTTTTGAAAATTGGAGACTGCTGTGCGTACAAGAGAACGAATAACACTAAAGGCCTATGGGCTTTTGTGTGCGCTGAACAGCGAAGCGCTGAAGTGGTATATATAATTTGATCGCCGAATTGATCGCAACCTCCTGACCGGATATAGGTGTGCAAAATATCAAGTCTGGAGACCGTGGTAACTGATAAGGTATAGGTTTGGTTCGAGTTTTGGATAATTTAAGCATAACAGTATTCCACTTTATAAGCCGTATCCGACATCATTTAGCCGAATACGCACCAAATAGTTGTCAGCTAATCCATCGTAAAAAAAAACACCTTCTACCTATCGCTCACGGCGTAATAAAGTCACGTAAGTACAACTATGTATATGCAGCAGTGCAACGAGTGCGCTGCATCAGGCATCTCTGTAGTTCGCCGAACAAACTGCAAGCGTTCATTTAGTCAGCTTACCGTGAGCCCGCAGTTCGGCGCAACAGAGCAACAGTAGCAGAGCCGCTGCGGCAGATCCCGACACAAGACGCCCCATGTCAACTGATCGGAGACCGGTGGTAGACTAAGCCACGGACAGCGGCTGCTCGCTCCCCCACAGCGTTCCACCCGACACAGGCTGGATGCCGGAGTGAGAGGCGTAAAGTCCCACCACACCCGCGCCAGTCGGCCTCTGGCTGTGCTCTGCAGACCACAGGGCACAGCACTACTGCGCTGAATGTCAGAAAACGGCCGCCCCGCACGTAATTAGACGGCCCGTGACCGTCAGAACCGTCAATATGACAGCTCATTGACAGCTCAACAAAACGAATGTCATGACGTTAAACTCCGACAAATCCCGTGCTACCCTATAAGCCAGCCTGTGCACGCCCCTGCCTGAACAGGTGACCCGGGTTCGAATGGGAACTGGGGGTGGGGAGGCACGTTGATCTTGACGCACGAGTCACTCACAACTGCCTCGGGGTGCCGCTCCCCACTGGAATTCCCCAATAAGAAAGTATACGAACTTCTTCCCATACGAAGCTCACTATAGTTTCACAAAATGTAAAACAAAAAGAAAACAATCCGGCGAAGCCATTCACCGAAAGTCGGATATCCGGGCACTTGACCTGACCTCAGACGTCACCGGTTGACTTGGCGCTTTGAATTAATTATCCCAGTCGCTGCGACTGGTAACGGCGCACTGCACACGTCTTCTTCCGCGAGACTCTAGCTAAATTGGGGGTGACACGGCAAGGGAGCGGGTCCCACCAACTCCAGAAGACCGAACGATACGCGATATGACCTCAATTGAACGAATTCGTAACCTGAGTGGCTTTGACTTGATCTTGGCCTGAGGTTAACAAGCTAAGGCAACATCACAAAAAAACAGCATTTGACGCGTCTGAGCATGACAAACACGACGATACACAATTTGCCAACAATTTGCAGTTCTGCGGCTATTTTTTTGTTTTGCAAAGTTATTTACCAAAAGCCAATTGGCCCAGCTTCAGGGCTCTCCACCCGTATTATGTATTGAATATATTGTATATATCGGGTCGAGTTGAATATAGGTATATACCCGTACCTATAGGTACAGGCAGTGGTTTCCGCATGCGATAGGATGAGCGGTAAAGGATGAACAATAATTATCGTTGTTAAGTAAATCGGTTATCGTTATCATTTATCGCTAAATTTTCAAAATTATCGCTTATCCACTTATCGCAAGTTACAAAAATTATGAACGATAAACGATAAAATGTAAAACGGGATGATGGAAAAATGGAAGACGATCGACAGTGTATGCCGCGCGACAGTATGTGCGACAGATGCTGAGCTTCAGACTAAAATGTGTTTTTTTTTTTGTCCTTTTTCTTTACTTGTACCTATGATCCAGTATTGAGTAGATAGATACTGCAAATAAACTTTAAGTACACCTATTTAAGCTGTATTTGCTATCGCTTTTGTTATCGCTGTTAAAAAAAAACAATTATCGTTATCGTTTTATCGTTTATCGTTTCGTTATCGCTATAAGAAAACAATTATCTTTATCGTTTTATCGTTTATCGTTTCGTTATCGCTGTTAAAAAAACAATTATCGTTATCGTTTTATCGTTTTATCGCTATCGCTGTTAATTTTTTGAAAAAAAATATCGTTTATCGTTTATCGTTATCGCAAACCTTTCTTATCGTTTCATCATTATCGCAGGTCTGAAAATTAGTTATCGCGGAAAGCACTGGGTATAGGTACCTACTATAAATTGAATTCGGAGCAGCAACTCAGGGGTCGCCGGTTGACCACGTCCATTTTTTCCGCGAAGCTCTAGCTCAATAAGAGGCAAAACGGCATGGCGTCTGCCATTATTTACCCTCTCCCGTTGGCCGGGTGGGGGAGAGTGGGGTAATTTGGCCGGTGGTGTAAATTGGCCGCCCCCACCTGTACGATGTCTTATAAAAGTGAGTGAAATAACTCTAGTCTCTATTCATTTGTCATGGGTAGAAATAACTGGAGGACAAATGTCAAAACTTTGCCCCTCGTAGTTTTATTCAAAATTAATAAAACGTTAATTTCATTAGAAAATGGTAACTTTTACTTCTGTTTACAAAGTTGTATAACATGTAGGGGAAGCGGGGGGAGCACCGCCACCTTACGAGTAAGCATTCCTGCTCACCGAGCTGATATGCGTAGTAAAAACGAAGCTCTTTTGCATTCATGTGAAAGTAGGAATGTTTTCCTACATGTTGGCATAGTTTTCAAGCGCTCCATTATAAATTTCGCTACTTTACAGACGTCGAAAACAAGTCCTGCATTTTTCGTCCTCCAAAAAAATGTGCGGGTAGCACCGCCACTGATGGCGATGTTATCCACAGATCGGCCTTACGGTGACAGCCACCCTTGGAAGCGTTACTGCTGTCTGAAATAGTAACTCAAACTCATATAAGACACACAAGAAGAGACACACAAGTTAGTTTGTCACAGATCAGACTGTTTGTTGCGGACAATATGCATACAAAACATGACAAATTCAGTAAATTCACGTTTATTTCGAAACATCCAGTGAAGTCAAACGTGAGGTTAAAAAACAGACGACGTTTGCGGCCTAACTAAAGCTCTTCTCCGAGCTGAGTGAATCATCATTGCGGCTTTATCCATTTTGCCACCCCTTGGGGTAGCACCGCCGAGCATGGCGGTGTTACCCCACTCACAGTCATGGACCGACAACGCCCCGACAGCAAAACAAGCCGGGACGCGATTCTTCTGTAATTCCTTTCTCAACAAAGAGCACTTCATGCCCTCAAATTTAACGTAAAAATCAAGGCATTTTGACTTGAAATGACCACTTACTTGCTGCTCAAACATGCCAAATGATTACAACGATGGTTTGAAATTCACAAAATGGGCAATTGCGATCTTAAAATCAAATAAATCTTAGCGAAACCTACCTCACGCGGCGTCCCGTTTCCGTTCGGACACCGAAATGGCGAGTGTTTACATTTACAATTCAGAGTTTTGCCGATAGAGAGGATGGCGGTGTTTCCCACATGGCGGTGCTACCCCCGCTTCCCCTAGTATTTGGGCTAAAAACGAATTCAGACATTATAGCGCCATTCTTGGGGGGTGTTCAACGGTTCCAAGAGCAATTTCATCTAATTCCGTATAGCCATGCTGACTTTATACACAAAAATTTTCAGAATGGCAATATGGGGTAATTTGGCCGGGACTAGCGGGGCAACTTGGCCGGTGCGCTCATGGTCACTATGCTGGGACGGCCGAGTTTTCATGGTCAATTGTACCATAAATGACATGATTCATGACCAACTTTGACTACTTTGATGACTTACTTCCGATTGGTCACCTGTAAGAGCATGTGACGTCATCAAAGGTTACCAAACGTTTTTTGCTAATAAATTCTTACATAAAAATGGTACAGCCGCACAAATGGTCTCATTCTGTTCAGCTCACCAAGGCGCATCGAATGATATGCATGATGACCTTGAAATCACGTGACCTTGAGGTCAAGCGATCTGAGGTAACGTGACTTGAGGTCAACCTTTGACCTTGACTTCTCGAGGTCAACACATATATGTTTGGATGCGGAATGACGAGAGAATTACGATGGTACTCGAAGTTTTGGCCTAGCTTGATTACTTCAAAAGTTATTCGTCTAAAAAAACTGTCTACGCATCTAGAGCCGCTAATTTGGCTATTTTGACCCCTGTGACCCCATGAGTCAACCTCCAAAATGTGGTAAATGCGTCAAAGGACACACGTCATTGCTGAATCTGAAGCTGACTCGCAATATAACAGAAAATCCCGACCGTACCTAAACTAACACCGGCCAAATTGCCCCACACCCCCGGCCAAATAACCCTGCTAGTGGGGCAATTTGGCCGCCTTGCAGACCTTTGTAATGCGTCACAATTTCAATATAAGTAATTACTCTATCATTTCAAGTTCACTGTCCAGTAAAGTAAAATGAATGCGACACCTGCCAGCGTTGAGAAAATGCAGAAATGTGTCGTCAATTCTAAGTTACATCGGTTTCTAAAAAAAAACGGCCAAATTACCCCACTCTCCCCAGTCGCCTATGCAGAAAACTGATAGGTACGGCGAGGCTTAACAACATTTCCGATAAGTTCACATACCTACTGGAGAGCGCCCCAGGCCCAGAGACCGATCATTGAACTCCATCCTTGGCGGGACAGCCTGCAGTCAGGGCTGGAGAATAATAATGTTTCACGTCCTGTTCTTCACCGCACCACAGCCGTTGACCCAGGGCATATTTTAACATACTGACTGCGTCCCATTTTGGGACGCAGCCCCCTGCCTTTGGGACGTAGCCCTCGCGAAATTTGGACCACTGCGTCCCACACTGAAATGTCACGGTTTCAGCGGAAAAGTGCAAGCAAAAATATTTAGCATGCCTCGGTCTTTTACTATGCAACAGATGTTGCCTTTCTGATTGCTTTGTGCCCTGATTTACTATGCACCTAAAGGAAACAGTTCACTTTCCTGAAATTAGTACCTATTTTGCTATTGATTTATGATTTTTTATGCTCAAAATGATCATGAAAGAAAGTAAAACCTTTTTGTAAAAACAATTATTTTCTATATTTTAATATAGGACGAACTATATTCTATGTAAAATAATGTTTGAGGCGGAAGCTTATTACGCGTTGACCATGGTCAATCATATCGCGTAATTCAAACCTACGCATACTGCATTGGCTGTAAGCAGCATGCTGATTGGCTGACGATGACGTGGCTGCATTCCTGTGCAAGGCACGCATTCCTCTGCAAGGCACTCTTTTCGGAACGAGAAATGGAATATCTTCGTCTAGGGTGATCGTTGAGCCATAAAAGCTCCTGATTTGTGCTAGTCTCAGCTCAAGCTACGAAACTGCTATTCCAGTTCAAAACCCCATGTTAAAAGTGAACTATTTCCTAAGTACATACATGCGCTCTCCAGTCCTTGTGCCCTGCCCTATCCTAGGGTCGTACACCTTGTTATGTCCTGCCCTACTATACCCCTAGGATATGTGACCTGCCCAGTGCCCTGTCCTAAGGTCTTGTACCTTGCCCTGCCCTTCCTTCAGGCCCTGCGCCCTGCTCTGCATTCAGGCCCTGTGACCCTCTCTGCCCTGCCCAGTTCCCTCAAACCCGATACCTTGTTGTCTTCCCGCCGTTCGGTGCTGCTGCCGGTTCGGTGCTGGGCCCGGATTTCGGGAAAATTGTGCATGTCTAGTCCTGTTCCTTGCCCTGCCCTCAGATCCAATAATACTTATATTGATTTAAAAAATCAAATATAAGACTTTAGCTAAAGTTGGAGAAGATTATCCCTGGACCTGGGCGGAACCCAGGGAGGCGAGGCGAGTTATCACAAGCAGCATAAGTGTCACCTTTAATCCCCTACGCTCCCCCTCCCCTGTGGCACCATCCGCCGCCCACCACCCATTCATGATTCACATTCGCGTAGTCGCCGTGCTGGACCTGTCGGAGCCGAGGCAGACATGCGAGCCTGGATAGGCTGACCCGGGCGGAAAATCGGCGCCCGCCCTTCCGGGGATTCCCGGCCATTGAAACCAAGGCCGTATAAGAGAGGTGGAATCATCCCGCGATTTCCAATGGACCGGTCGCTAAGCATTAGCGTGACGTCACTGGTGGAGACCGGGCGGCGCCCGGCTCCAAGCTGTACGTCGGGTACATTTGGCACCGTATAGTTGTTATTACTGAACGACGAACGTAACGACAACTAATGACTCTTAATAACTTTTTTACTCACCTAAAGCCGATTTCCTTGCCGGTACATTGCCGACCCGAGCCCCAGGTTGACAATCATGGGATATGGGTCGGATGGGCGACCTGTTGTTGTTGTCAGTTGTAGTCCCTCCGCTCAGTCGAGCGTAGCCGAGCGGCTCTGGAGGGACCTGGCAGCGGCCGCCAGGGCCGCCACCAAGTCGTCGTCCCACAGGTCCCTCAGATGTGGGTGTATAGTCCCCAGTACGCGCATGCGGGTTCCCATCAGGGCCGGGCAGCGCGCCAGGACATGTCTCGGTGTGTCCGCCTCTTCTTTGCAGATGGGGCATCGCGCCGCCGGGCACCTGTGGCTACTGCATTGTTCGCAGCGCCCGCCAGGGTTTCTTCCAATCCTGTGTAGGTATTGTGCCGACGCCGACCAGTGACCGGCTCGTAACTGGTGGACATCGGCCGCCCTCGTTCGGTTCAGGCCGGCCACCGGCGGAGGGGAGCGCGAACCCATGAGGTCCCGGTACCATCCCTCGGGCCACCTCGCCGTCGCTCGCGCCCGCGCCGATCTTGCCGCTGCTCGGTGGACCGTTTGAACGTCCAGTGGGGATGACTCCTGCGGCAGCTGTGCCGCCTCCTTAGCCAGGATGTCCGCGCGTTCGTTTCCCTCCAGCCCGCAGTGGGAGGGAACCCACTGCAGATGGGCCCGGCGGCCCCGCTCCGCCACCGTAAGCAGGGCCTGCCATATTGTGGCACCAGCCGTGATTGCTGGGCCGCCGGTCCCGCGCGTAGGGCCGACAGAGCCGACTGGCTGTCAGTGCACAGCATCACCGGGTCGCCCGGGTCCTCCTCTGGGTGGTCCATCAGCCAGCTCAGCGCCGTGGCCAGAGCCACCATCTCGGCCCGGTAGCTGGAACACAGCCGGCCCGCCGGAGCTCGCAGTTCCTGCTCCTCTCCTCCCGGGCGAACCACCAGCGCGCCAGCACCTCCATTGTCCACTCCGCCCTCTGCCGAGCCATCCGTCCAAATCCAGGTCGCGCACTGTGTTAGGCCTCCCAGGCACCTCTCCGCCACCCGTCTTCTGTCCGCTGCCGACGCGCCCAGCGGCAGTTCGCCGACATCTATAGGGCCAGCGAGACACCAGCCGCGCCCATCCACGGCGGGGGGCGGCGGGAGATCATGTGCTCGATGGGGCCCGCAACACCGGCCGCCGTCCAGACTTCCCGGCCCAGAGAGCGCCATCCCCGCCATCCCATATCGCCTGAAGAGTACCGGGGGATCATGATGATGATGATGATGATCCCCCGGTACTCTTCAGGCGATGGGCGACCTCGCGACGGGAGGAGGAACGATTGCAATTGTTGTGTTCCGCACCGCCGATTGCATTCTCTATCTGCACCCGGGGGAGGGGAAGCAGGGGGCACGTGCCCCCATCGGATCAGGGGGCCTCTCGGGCCAGAGGGGCCTTGCGACGCCAATTGGCGGCTGAGGGTCCACGCTGGCATCTTTCGACTCAGAAGGGCCCCACAGGGCTCGGCAGAACACCTTATGTGCTCCGAAGAGCCACACTTCTCTCCATAAGAGCCCCACACCGGCTTTTTAACTTAGTTAGTGTCCCTTGTCGGCCTTTGAGGGCCCCTTGCCGGCTTCTCAGGGCCTATTGGTGACCTCTGAGAGCTACTTGCCGGCCTCTGAGGGCCCTTACCGGCCTATCAGGGACCAGCAGCTCTAAGGGTTCCACACACGCCTGCGATGACCCCCTAAACCAATGGTTGAAGGCCCCCACAACGGCGCCTGCGAGGGCCCTCACCGGCGGCTGTGAATGCCCCACACCGGTGCCTAGCTGAGGGCCCAACACTGCCACCTCTGAGTGCAACCGGCACCCCTGAATGAGGTCCCGAAACCAGTGCTTCTTAAGGCCATATATCGGCGGCTCTGGGGGCTCAACGCCGGAGCCGCATCGGACGGCCACTCACCAGTGACTTTTGAGGGCCCCACTAGAGATGTCAATCGGATACCAACTTTTTGGTATACCGATTTCAAACCGATAACAACTCGGTATTTGGTATTTCAACCCTAATGTGTTTGGTATTTTGTTGGTATCATGAACCCTCGCTAATGTTTAAGAGGCTAAGGAATCGGTAAAAAGTTGGTATTTTCCTCATGTTCCCAAGTTGGTTTGGTTTCGGTATTTCTCCACGGTTTTGGCTGGTATTTGGTTTGGTATCGGTATTCGGGGTATTCCGATTTTCCGTAATTGACATCACTAGGCCCCACACCGACGACTCTGAGGGCCCCACTGGCGTCTGAGTGTACCTTGCTGGTCTCTAAGGACTCCACAGGGCTCCCGAAGGCACCGCAGACCTCTTAAGAGCCCCTTGTCGGTCTCTGAGAGCCCCTGTCGGCCTGTAAAGGGTTCGAGCCAGCAGCTCTAAGGGTCCCACACCCAACTGTGACAACCCCACACTGCAGTGTCTCTGAGGTCCCACAACGGCAACTGTGAGGACCCTCACCGGCGACTCTGAGGGCCCACAGCGGCACCTCTGGGGCCCCGCACCAATGCCTCTGAGAGCATCACACCGGTACCTTTGAGGGCCCACACCAGTGCCTCCAATGGCTTCATAACCGGCGGCCCTGAGGGCCCTACACGGGTGATTTTGAGGGGCGTAGCGAAGGCACCACACAATCCCTTAGTCTCGCTGAGCTTCTATCCCAATCCCATACCGGCTTCTATCCCAATTCCGGCTCAACTAATTATCAGCCCCCCCCCCCGAGGTGAAAAAAAACTCAAAAGCTGTCACCTACGCAATGTCTAGCTGTCACAAATTTTATTACAAGTCATCTTGAAACAGTAGATACCATATTTTTTTACGCTTTCTCATCACCTTTGTAGGCCTAATGAAATGAGGCCAGAATGTTAGAAAGAAACTGACCTTTCAAATTTCGGCCTCTGTGCATTACAATACATCGCCACATTTCAGTGACACAAAAAAAAAATACTATCATCCAACTTACCTTACCTATAGGTCTGATCGTCTTCCTAGCTCGTCCTGGCTTCCTGATCCAGTTCAATCAGAACTCACGAAAGGATTGTCAGTCGTCACTTATTCACTTGCCTTCGCTTCAGTAGTCAGAACCAATTATCAACGCTCCTACCAAGTTTTCGGGACCGATGGTCATGGACCTCACCCCAGTTGTGGGGCCCAGATGTGACGTCCCCCGTCCCGTCGCTCGGTCCCTCCCTACCTCCGGCGGCGGCCAAGGCCGCGCCGGTCCCCGCCACCGCTCAACCGGCGACGAGCGGGACGAGCTGTCGCGCTGTCGCCGTTTTTCCTGCGTTGTCTATGGCGCTTCAGAACGCACCGGCTGTCGTACCCAAGTCGTACCGGCGGGATTTTTCAGCCGGAGCTGGCTACAAAGAGATGACGCTGTTAAATTTTTGTGCCGTGGTCCATAGTGGCCCTCTGTGGGAAGACAGCTCTGATTTTAGCGGAAACGGCCTAGTTATCTATTTTAAGTGCATCATCTGATATGCTCGAATTTGTCTCTTTATTCCTATGGCTGTCACCTACGCACGCAGGCGAGTAGCAGCTTTTTTCACCTCTGCCCCCCCCCCCCCTCCATGGGTCTCCATATCTATGTTTATTCTTTAAACGTAGGTACATTTAGGTGCATTAAGGGAGGTCAAACACGCCCAACGACGTTCAGGAAAACGAATGACTAAAAGCAATATCAATGTCATTAAATCGCCGGTCCGTCCTTTGAATGCGGAAAAAGAACGCGCTATGACTGGGCGAATTTCGAGACTGGCCAAAAGCAATCACAGCCCGCTCCCAATATCCCGCTTGCTGTCCCTCCACCGGCACATTACACAATGACACGTGTATCTCACCTGCATTATATACTATTTCGCTTGCAATGTGGTATGTGCCCTTTCAAGATGATTCCTGGGTGGAAGATTTAGGGCGTCTTTGGCCAGTTTATCGGCCGCTTCATTGCCTGGGATACCGAGATGTCCTGGTATCCACAGGAGTTTGATATCCTTGCCTTCTCCTAATTTATACAACTGTTTTTTAATGTTATGTACTAGCCGGTTTGGCTCAGGTCGTCTAGTTTTTATAGCCATAATGGCTGAGGCCGAATCGGTACATATCACCGCTTTTTCTATTGTGGATGTTGTTACGTGTTTGAGAGCTGCTAGGATTCCGGAAAGTTCTGCGGTAAATATGGAGTGATGATCATGTACCCTGTATGATTTCTGATATACCTCCGAATATACAGCGGCCGCTGTATTCGGCCCTTTTTTTGAGCCGTCTGTATAATAAAAGGTATATCCTGTGTGGTTGGCTTTATACTTGTGGAAGAGTTGCAAACATTCCTCTTTCAATGTATTACGTTTGTTCGACGAGAAAAGGAAAGACGCTCCTTCAAACGGAGGGATGTAGAAAGAAGAAGCGGGTGGAGTAGGGAGAATCTTTGGGGGAGGAATCTGAAACCGCGCGAAGACCAGTTCTATTCGATACGCAATCACCGGATATTTAGTTTGCGCGGACGAGAGATGACCTTCCTGATACCGATTAGTGACGATCTTGTGCGTGTTTTGATTAGGGGAAGAACAGGCGCGAGCGAAAAAGCGAAGCAGTTGTAGTTTACGTCGTTGTCGGAGAAAAGGGATGTTGCATTCCGCGTGAAGAGCTATAATACTTGTTGTTGCGTGAGCTCCCGTAATAATACGGAGAGCGTTGTTCTGGATAATCTGCAATGACTCAATTTTCTTAGAAGCTATATCATCAAATAGAAAAGCGTTATAGTCCAAGATAGGGCGAATAAGAGAGGTGTATAGCTGGAAAAGTGTGCGCCTATCTGCGCCCCAATCTTTTCCTGTTATACATTTAAGAATATTTATGCGCCTGGAACATCTGCTTTTAATGTTTTCAAAGTGTTTGTTAAAGTTAAGTGTTTTATCCAAGGTAATACCAAGGTAGGTAAATTCATTGACATAATTAATAGGTTTGTCTTTGATCTTAAGTGAGGGGGGTTTGTCATGAGCTAGCCGAGGTGGTACGAAGAGAAGAGCCGCCGTTTTGTTACGGGACAATTTAAGACCCCATTCTTCGCACCATTTAACTATATCATTTAGTATAATTTGGGCTCTACTATATGCTGCGAGAGGGGTGTCGCGCGTAACCCAAAACGCCACATCGTCAGCATATATAGAGTGTTTTTGGTTAAGCGGGGAGAAATGAAAGATATCGTTAATCATGATAAGGAAGAGGGTAGGGGAAATGACACTACCCTGGGGAAGGCCATGATCTTGATTGGTGGTTGAAGAGAGAGTATTACCACATCTTACGTTAAATGTTCGATTAGTCAAAAAGTTTTTAATAAAGGCAGCCATATGGCCCCTTATGCCCAATCTATGTATTTTTATAAGAAGGCCTTGTTTATTGACTCTATCAAATGCGTTTTGAAAATCCAAAAATACTGATAGAGTGAATTCGTTTTCCTGGAATCCCCTTTGTACATCATCTATCAAATGGGCTATAGAATCGGACGTGGAGCGTCCAGGTCTAAAGCCATTTTGAAAGGGGGAAAGAAGTTTATTTGTTTCCAGAAAAGCTCTTATTCGCCCATTAATCATACGTTCGAAGAGTTTGGACGCGCAACTTGTCAAGGATATAGGACGATAACTGGAGGGAGAGGATGGGGGTTTACTGGGTTTAAGGATCGGGATTAGGGTGCTTATTCTCCAGCTATCTGGAAAGGTGTTGCTAATCCAAAGTTGATTAAAGGAGGAGAGGAGGGTTTCTAGACTAGTGCTAGAGAGGTTACGGAAAAAGGAATAGGCAATTTGGTCGGGGCCTACAGAGGTATTGCCACATCGGGAGAGTGCGTGTGTAAGTTCACTAAGTGTGAACGGTTGGTTATATGGTTCAGTGTTAGTGGAGTGGAATGTAAGGGTGCTTAGTGTATGCGTGTAGAAGTGGTTCTGGTTTTGCGTGTATTGTTGTGCTGAGGATGTGTTGGAATAGTGTGTTGCAAATTGTTCCGCGACGTCGAGTGGGATGGTATAGTGGATATTGTTAATGTGGAGATGTGGAATTTTGTATGTTCTAGCGCGTTTATTTGAAAAGGCTTTAATTAGCGACCAGATTTTGGATAGAGGGGTAAATCTATTAAAGGTGTTTGAAAAGGTTTGCCAGCCTTTGGTTTTATTTTCTTTAATTATAATCATAGTTTGATATTTTTGACGTCTATATGCTTCCTCGTGTTCCTCGCAGACACATTTTTGAAAGGCTCTGAGAGCGCGCTTCCGAAGAGCAACAGCTCTCTGGCATTCCGTGTTCCACCACGGCGCATTTTTAGAATCTCTAGGCGGGCCAGTATGGGGAACATACTGGTGGGCCGCGGTAAGAATGTTGTTAAGGAAATCGTTAATATCATTAGGGGGAGTGTTGTTAATATGCTCATCTATATGTATTTGAAATGCTGACCAATCCGCTTTGTTAAAATTCCAGCGAGGCAAAAAGTTAAAGTTAGTTTGCCCTGAAGGGACGTTCAGTACATAATGAATAGGAAAGTGGTCGCTGAAGAGGGAGTCGTCTCCAACATTTTGAGTGAATAGTGTCGCGGTGTTTATGTCTGTGAAGGCCAGATCTATGACGGAGTGTGTGAGCTGGCCATTGTACGCTGCTGTTCTTGTTGGCGTGCGATTGTTGATACAAATTAGATCAAGTGCTTCAGTTACGTTATATATTTGTGTTCCGCGAGTGGTGTTTGAATTACAGCCCCAAGAAAGGTGATGGGCGTTAAAGTCTCCCATGATGAGGCACGGGGGTAGTATATCTGAGAGGAGTTTTGTTAGATGGGGGGGATGGAAAGGGAGGGAAGGGGAAAGGTAAATAGATATAATAGTTATGTCTTGGTGTGCAAGTTTAACCTTAGCACCAACAGCATTTAGCTGGGTGTTTAGTTTAATTTGGTGATGGAGTAGTTTATTTGAAATATAAAGTGCCGAGCCGCCTCGGCGCGGAGTTACGTTAACGTTATTTGTATACAGGGAATATTGGGGAATGTTAAAGTTGTAGTTGACAGCGTCCGAATCGATAAATTTTGTTTCTTGGACGGCGGCTACTAACGGTTTTTTTATTTAAGATGTAGTTCTTGAATTCACCCCAATGGGATACAAGTGAAGCCGTATTCCATTGGAGGATGAATTCGTTAGAAAATTGGGCCATTGCGCTTATGTACTACTGGTGTTTTTGTTGTTTTTACTGAGTGGCTTCGCGGTTGCTCTGCGCTGCCGTTACCAGGCGCGCTAGCGAGCGTGTGGTGACACCTTCGGGCGGAGTGGGCGGGGCAGAGTGAGAGCGCCGTGGCCTTTTCTTTGCGGTGAGATTTTGTCGCACTGTGCGATTCAGATCATTCTCCAACGAGGAGTCTGATGACGGAGTCTGATTTATGTTGGGCGTCGGCAATGTCACCAGCACTGACTCGGATTCAGCGGTCGGCGGCGGCGCGGTCTTAGTGACAGTGGCAGGCTCCACGATCGCTTCGGGGGCCTCGGGCTCGTTTGGCGCGAACTCCGTTTCGACCGACTCGGCTCGGCTCGGCCACCCGGTCTCGGCTGCCAGGGAGAAGATCCCCTCAAGGTCACTAGGGCTGGGTGGGACCGAAGTGCCGTTCTCAGATAGGCGACCATCGTAGCCTGGGGCGGGGCGAAGATCCGGTGAAGCCGGCGCGGTGTCACGGTTCAGAGGGCGTCGGGCCGGGAGGGGACGGCGGGCCTGGGGGGCCACGGCTGTCGACACATCCTGGACACGGGGCCACACCTGTGCAGGGGGCGGAGCTTCGCTCCCAGCCCTTTCCTCATGATAGGCCTCGAGCGGCAGCGGGGGCGGCGGGATGGGGAGGGTGCCGCGCGCGTTCAACTGGTCCTTTTTTTGCACCCAGACCGGGCACGACCTGCTCCACGCGGGGTGGGGGCCCTCGCAGTAGGCGCATAACGGCTCTGGTGCCTCGCAGTTGTCTGGGGTGTGTCCAGTTCCTGCACAGCGGAGGCAGTTGGGCGTCTTAGATTTGCATGTGCTCTGCAGATGGCCGTATCGGCCGCAGTTGCGGCACAGTCTGGGGTTCGTCTCCCACGCCCTTACATCAAAAACCTCATAACCGGCATAGATGTACACTGGGCACGTGAGCCCCACAAAGCGCAGCTTGAGGAGCGGATTGGGACGCGATGTTTTCGACCGGAGGCGGACAACCTCGGCGACCTTTTGCGATCGAAGTTCGGTACGCAGCTCCTCCACATCCATGTACGCGAGCTGCGGCGCGTATATCGTGCCAGAGGTGGTGTTCATTTTCGTGGCTGGGGTCACGGTCACGGGAGTTCCGAGGAACTGATGGAGTTGAAGAGCTAAGGCGGCTTGGGCCTTGCTCAGCACCCGGATAAGGACATTGCCGGAACGAACGACCTTGGCGAAGCGGACTTTCCCGATGAGAGTATCCATCTCCCGGCGGAGCGCGAAAGGGGACACGCGGCTGAAGGTGCCATCCTGAGGCGTCATCAACAGGTAACACTCCCCGACGGGGACCTCGTCCAAGAGGGGGTTGGGGGAGGGGGAGGGGGGGAAGAGGGGGTAGACCAGGGGGCGGGCGGGCCGGGATAGCGGGGGTGCCATAAGGGCGGGTGGTAGACCGGAAATACCTACGACGGAGAGTCGAGACGCCGAAGATGAAATACGGCAAGATGGCGGGTTATCAAGATGTCAACCGTCGACGGGGCCGAGTGCAGACGAGCGAGGAATGCTTCAAGATCGATGGAAGAAACCAGACAATGGCTCAAAGAATTTAGAAATTTTTAAGATCAGCAAAATGAGTATTGAAAGCAATTAAAGCACAACACCTATCACTACAATCACAAAAATCATGTCCGTGAAGTTAGCGTCAGCAACAGCAACGAATACAGCGTCGGATTCAGAATCGCTTAAAAAACTCATATTACGTCAATTGGGGGACGGGGAGCAAGAATATGACCTTTATTTGGCCCTAGCTCTTACCCCTTACCCCTTAATCGGCCCTTAAAGGAAGGGACGCGTCAAAAGTGCCTCAAGGGTTCGTCTGATCGCCAAAATAAGGGTCGCACTCGATTCCCCGGGTCAATATCTAGCCGCAGCCTCGGGTTCCAGATGTGTGCAACTTACCCCTTACCCCTTAATCGGCCCTTAAAGGAAGGGGCGCGTCAAAAGTGCCTCAAGGGTTTGTCTGATCGCCAAAATAAGGGTCGCAATCGATTCCCCGGGTCAATATCTAGCCGCAGCCTCGGGTTCCAGATGTGTGCAACTTACCCCTTACCCCTTAATCGGCCCTTAAAGGAAGGGGCGCGTCAAAAGTGCCTCAAGGGTTCGTCTGATCGCCAAAATAAGGGTCGCAATCGATTCCCCGGGTCAATATCTAGCCGCAGCCTCGGGTTCCAGATGTGTGCAACTTACCCCTTACCCCTTAATCGGCCCTTAAAGGAAGGGGCGCGTCAAAAGTGCCTCAAGGATTCGTCTTATCGCCCAAATAAGGGTCGCAATCGATTCCTCGGGTCAATATCTAGCCGCAGTCTCGGGTTCCAGATGTGTGCAACTTACCCCTTACCCCTTAATCGGCCCTTAAAGGAAGGGGCGCGTCAAAAGTGCCTCAAGGGTTCGTCTGATCGCCAAAATAAGGGTCGCAATCGATTCCTCGGGTCAATATCTAGCCGCAGCATCGGGTTCCAGATGTGTGCAACTTACCCCTTACCCCTCAATCGGCCCTTAAAGGAAGGGGCGCGTCAAAAGTGCCTCAAGGGTTCGTCTGATCGCCAAAATAAGGATCGCAATCGATTCCTCGGGTCAATATCTAGCCGCAGCCTCGGGTTCCAGATGTGTGCAACTTACCCCTTACCCCTTAATCGGCTTTTAAAGGAAGGGGCGCGTCAAAAGTGCCTCAAGGGTTCGTCTGATCGCCAAAATAAGGGTCGCAATCGATTCCTCGGGTCAATATCTAGCCGCAGCCTCGGGTTCCAGATGTGTGCAACTTACCCCTTACCCCTTAATCGGCCCTTAAAGGAAGGGGCGCGTCAAAAGTGCCTCAAGGGTTCGTCTGATCGCCAAAATAAGGATCACAATCGATTCCTCGGGTCAATATCTAGCCGCAGCCTCGGGTTCCAGATGTGTGCAACTTACCCCTTACCCCTTAATCGGCCCTTAAAGGAAGGGGCGCGTCAAAAGTGCCTCAAGGGTTCGTCTGATCGCCAAAATAAGGGTCGCAATCGATTCCTCGGGTCAATATCTAGCCGCAGCCTCGGATTCCAGATGTGTGCAACTTACCCCTTA